GTAAAAAAACAAAATGAATATACTAGTAGATAGGAAAAGTTAAACGAGTGAAACTATGTTGTACTAAATACAATGAAATAATAAGAAAAATAAAACAAAAACAGCAATGAGTCATGAGAAAAAATAAAAAAGAAAATAATTAGAAGGGACTGACCTTCCATAAAAAAGAGAGGGAAGTTTTTAAATTAAAGAGAGAGAGAGAGAGGGGAGAAAGAGAGAGAAGGAGCAAACCCTGGAAGGTACAGTGAAGAAATGACAAAAACGCAAAAGGAGGAATGGAAAAGGGAAACCGTTTGAGATCGGCAGGCTGGCCGAACGCAGCGCCGGTCGCCTCGCGCATGCAGCGCGACGTGTACAGCGGGTCCCACGCACCGCCTCCCTTCTTTTTTTTCTCCGCGCACCTTATCTTTTCCTCATCCAAACACACTGGTGGACAACTCTTGGCCACACCTTCCTCATTTTTTGGATCGGGAATGCGAGAGTGAGGAGGCAGCACAACGTTGTTTGGATGCTCGCGACGACGGCTTCCGCTCCCTCGCAGTGCTCCGCCGCAGTCGCCCCCACAAGTCCTACGAGTCAGCTCTCCACTCCCCTCAGCAAATCACCATGGATCCCTCGAGTTGAGCTCCTTCGTGTTGTTTTCTTTCCTTCCTGCAACAATCCTCCATGGACCACATGAGATTGAGCTCACACGTGCGCTACTGCGCGACCACACCGTGCTGAACGGGTGTTCCCTGTGAGCTACGATGGGCAAGCGATGGTGGGTGACCACGACCGACGAGTGCTACAACTGCGGCAACCAGATGCTGGGACCAGTGCTCAGTTTTGCTACCACCAATGTTTTGATTTGGCCCAATTTTACATTTTTTGCCACCACCATTTTTTGTTTTGCTGGAACCAAAACAAATTTTTGCTACCATCCACATTTCAGCTTTGTTGGAATCGATGTCAAAATTTTGCAATTTGCTACAACCGGCGTTTTGGTAATCATTAATTTGCTAATCATTAATTTGAGAGTGTGTCCCAACGCCGACCGTTTGCGGGAAGGAAAGTTTCACCTCTCTCTTATCTTCCCGCGTGGCCTATCTTCTCTCCTTTTCAATGGTGCAAATAGCCATATCAATCCTCTCGCTCATCTTAATGTTAAAACGAGTCAATTAATGCCCATCACTGCGTGGCCAATTACCCGTGCCATTTTCTGTTGTGTTTCGTAGTGCGAGCGACACGCGGCGACTCCCACAAATCCACTTCCCTCCTCGTCCTCACCATGCCACTTCGCCCAAAGCTAAATTGGTTGTCGTTCATGGAGGAGGAGGAATGGCAACTAAACAAGGAGGGCACACTGCAAGAGGCCCCTCATCGCGGAGGAGGAGTGGTGGAAACGCTAGCACATGCTGGAGGGCCTCGGCTACCCGCTGCCATGCCGAAGCCCTACCTTGATCGCGTCGAAGGACGCCCGACGCTGGAAATGCCTTGCCACAACTGGTATTCCACTGCCACGCCAAAGCCCTGCCTCGGTTGCGTCGAAGGCCGACTGGCACTGGACGATGCCTTGCCACAGTCGTTTTCTCGCAGCTCCTTCACTACTAGGGAGCTAAGCTTAGGATGCTTGTGGTGACTTGAAAGTGCATAGTGTTTAGTTGTAGCCTTTTTGAAGTAAGAGTATCGATCCTACAAGGAGCATAGGAATTTGACTTCGTCTCTTGTAGGGACTTATGGGAATTGTGACTGCAAGCTAGTTGTAGATGAAAAGCAAAATGAAGGCGAAAGGTTATAATGTTTTTGAATGAAGTGCGAACAGAAATAAATCATGCAAAAAAAGTAAAAACAACGCAGTGTAAATGAAGTGATGCAACCAATGGGGGGAACCGAGGCATTCCCAGTGAGTTCAGAATTCCCACTAGTAAATGTCTAACTTAACTTATGCGATTGCATAGTTCTAAGTTGGATACAACTATTCGAAGTAGTCATATCTTGCATGCCTCTACGTAGTTTCCCCATTCCGGTTCTCACTATGGTAAGTAAGACTTCCCCGCGGATGCGGCCACACCAAGGGTTTTCCTTTATTCCCGTATCAATTGCAAACCTCGGTAAGAGAGGATATTATTGTCACCTATTTGCCCCTATGTCCCAACCTTTACAATGATAGTTTTATGCTCCATGGACA